CTGTAATTACCGTTTATCCGATTCTGCCTGTGCAGGTAACATGACCTTATTATGGGATATTTGTGTTTATTTCAATCCATTACCAAAACACGACGTGTGATTCAATCAAAGAGTCACTGATGCGTGTCATGCTGTTTATTAAACAGTGCAGTGACGAAGATGTGATCCTCTTTTCAGCTCCCTTTCATGAAAAAGAAAGAAAAAAGAACTAGAACAAGTGCGACACTCCCTTTTTTGTCACAGATTTAAAAGCGTAAAATAATTGTATTTTGCATCTTATCTCATAAATTAGAGCCCGTCCAAAGCTGGTATGGAAATTTTTGACTTTAGTCATGGAACGAGCCTCTATCACATTGAAGCTGCGGGATTTTTAGAGGCATGACGAAGCTAAGAAGTTAGTCGATTTTCACGGCCAACTAGGGGAGAAAACATGACAGATTTTTGCCTCACACTGACATTAATGGGGTGAGCATCTTTTTTGAGCCGAGGCTTAGTGCGGAGGCTGAGACGCTTGTCGTGTGAGAGGTCATTAGCAACATTTACATGGCGAYGTACATGTAAGAGGAGAGGAGACGTACCAGCATGGAGGTCAGGTTACAACACCCCCCGTCGCTATGTAATGTCACGTTTAATGAACCTCCCACCCGTTCTCAAAGCTCATGACTAAATCAACCTGTTGTCTGTGCTCTAAATTATATACAACACAGCAGTAAGAAGACTGCCACTCATACTCCCCTCTCTGCATATCTTTAGATGGAGACTCTCTGCCCTCTATCATTAGATCCAGACGAGACAACGTCTCACAATAAGGTGTGACGCTTGCTCAGTATGTGGCTGCCGTGCGCCGTTTGTAGCTTCAGCAGACATTCTGTGATCTGTCAGCCTCATGTTGAAGATGGATGTTTGTGAAAAGCTTTGCTCTCTGCATCCTTTTTATTTTTTTCTGCTCCCCTGCCGGCCTGATGACCAGATGGGTCAGTGATTGTGTCGTCGGGGCTTGGCGGGCCCCTTCTGTTCTCTGTGAGTCCCACTCATGGGACTGAAACCCCTGAGATACGAATCATAAAAAAAGCAGCACCACACGGACTTGCAAGCTGAACTGAGACATTCAGTCACACTCAGTAACTTCCACAGTATGGTGCAAAAAGTCTTGAGCCACCCCTCATTTGTGCGCGTTCTGTTGCTATCAGCAAGAGTTTTCTGTTATYTTATAAAGACGTTTGAAGTATTGGTTCTCAGGCTTTAATTTGAAACATTGGCTGATTTTTTTCCCACTTATTTTCTGCCCTGTTTAAAAAGATGGAAGACAAACAGCCAATTGAAGCCTTAAAAAAACAATCACTCCCTAGTGGCTGACTCCAGTATATGTCTCACTTCATGATCCGCTCCATGTGCTGCAACTGTTGGAAACTAGACAACAACCTTAAACTGTAAAAATATGACTTTTCATTTGTAGTCTCAACAAGCTGTGTGGCAAATTTTGACCAAATTTTTGTGTTTGATTTGCAAAGGACAACTATATACTGTACATTACTGCATCGCCCACCGCCGGTGTTTTTATTTGATGTCAWTAAAAATAGATTACGAGGTCATGATTAACAGCTTTGATCGGCAGCTGTTCCTGAGTCAACTTACAGTGATGGAGACACAGCTACACCTGAAAAGACCGGTGAGGGAAAAAAACACAAGTTCTCACTTTCATAAATCTGTCTTTCAACAGGTTCTGGCCCAGATTCATGTTTCTGACCATTTCCAGACTAAACTTGTTAAACTGAAGWTTTTACGTTCTGTGAAAAAGGCAACAAAGCTGACAAGTGGAGAAACAGTATCTGAAATTTATGACTTTTGTAAATAAAATACCCGAACAAAAATCCAAAGAGCTGAACAGGACCTAAGAGATGTCTCATCTTTCAGTGTATCATCTTTTGCACACGTGTCAAACTCAAGGCCCTCAGGCCAAATGTGGCCAGTCATGGCATTTTATGTGGCCCACAAGACCTTCAAAGATATGTTAATGTCTTTAAAATAAGCTGCTTTAAAGCCAGCATTGACCATAAATTATGCATTTAATCACATTTTTGCCAGTTACCTTTTGTGCTGCTCAGAAATACTGAGAAGTGGGAATTTCCCATGTACACGTCGTAAATCACACTCATGTATACGTCGTAAATGAGTTTGGTGCTAAATTCAAAACCCTCCAGTGGGAATTCTCTGTCAGAATTCAACATGGCGGATACTCACAACTCAACAGTAAGTAAAATTCTAATACTTAATAGTATTTCTGTATTATTTATTTCATATTTAGTACATAAAATACTTTTCAGTCTTTATAAGAGGATGTGTCAAAACCCTGTTTCTATGCAGGAAATACCACAATGAGCTCAGTTACTGTTTGTTAGCTGTGCTCAGCCATGGCAGTGAGACRAGAAATGTAGTGTTTTATGTTTTGTCGAAGTTAAACATGAAACACTGAGGTTTTTTACAGCTGGCTCTTTGAGGGCCACCATAATGCTCATGCGGCCCAAGTGAAAATGAGTTTGGTGCTAAAATAATATTTTATGCATATCAAATTATGTTATCTTGATATAAAGACTGTAAACAAAGGATGAAATGTTGCATTTGCAAAAAGCAGCTAATTGTAATTTTTATGCCTAAATAGTCAGAGAATGGCAGCTTAAAAACATGACTCAGAAAATGTAGATGTACTAGAGGTGCATAAGAAAAGCACTGTTCAAAGACAACATTTAAAAAAAAAGAATTTCTGGCTCTTGTAAAGCTAAAAAAAGAGTAAKTAGGAGTTTAAAAGTTTTGCACAACAATGTTACAATACAGATACAACTCATCACATTCCACTGTTTCCATGGGAAAGGCAGTTCTGACAGGTTTGACCGATTACCAGACAAATTAACAAAAGATGTTGTAATTCTCTTGAATGAGCTGCAGGCAGACGTGTTCTTTTGTCATTACAGACAAGCTGTTGGAGAGGGTTACATTATTGAAGTGATATTTTTCTTGCCATGTCATGTGGAAATTTAGTCAAGTCATCTTCAGCTGCTATTGCAGTCCATTAACTCCATTGTGAAGATRCATAATTGATGCTGCCTTTGGGTAGAGTTTAATCAAGTGGAGATTGCTCCACACGTTGCCACTATCTGAAAAATGAGAGAACACAACCCTCTGCAGTGTAGTTTGGGTGGTAAGACTATAATTCACACTTTGAATTGATTTATCATCAATTGACTTTGAACTTTCTGCATAATGGCCAAAGAAAAACTCCCGGTGCTTTAGTGTTTGAAGGTGGATTTGTGTGAAGGAGTTCCAGAATGTGACTGAACTGGGATCACTTTTAGAAAKAATGAAAACTAAGATCATTTTATGTTGAGAATTGCCAGCCTTCTTTAAAATCCATTGAGTGGTTCATGATACATGTTGCTGACAGATCACACAGCACTAATCTACTCCCTACAAATTTGTTTTTTTAGATTTAGTTTTTAATTCATCTTTGTTTCGTGTGCAGCGCTGTCACTCCCAGCCACCTCACTCTTTGCTTCTCCATATTTTGTTTCTCTTCAGGAATTAACTCTGCTTTGAAACAAAAGTAGAAAAGAGGTTGGATGTGAAATTACACTGTTAATGCCGCTGCTTGAAAAAAAAATGCAGGCTCGGCTCTCTGGTCTCTGTTCAAAGCCAGCCAGCACTTAAACATCTCTGTCAAGTCGAGCTGAAGCCACAGGTGATCTGCCTTTGGTTTAAAAATGCTGCTGGCTTTTGTTTTTGCCCTCAGCCCGAGCTTTGATTCACTAGTTTAAAGAGAAAGAGTGCCATTTTGCCCGACGCAAGAGCAAGCGTCTGATCTTTCATGCAGCCGAGTCAAAACAGATATTTAACGTAATCACAAGGTACACGCACGCTTTTGCACATCTTTTCACCGTGGGTATGTTTGTGACAGGGAAAATAGGGAAGCCGGCAAAAGATTAGAGCTGCAATGTGCTGCAAATTCTGAAGAGCACTTGTCTCACTTAGACAAAGCAGTCAATGAGATTCATGAAGTTAGATCTGAAATTTTCTGACAAATGAAGGGAGCCTTACYTTGTGCCAACATTTTAAACTAAGGTCTGGCTCAATCTGTTAGTGCTCAGAGTAGGTGAAGTAAAAGACTCTCTGCTACTACCACTCCACATTAACCATTAGCCCACTACAACTAAACAGACATTTAGACAGAGGCAGTTATAATATTAAATGAGTAATASCCATTTTTGTGCTGGCTTAGGTCAAAAAGCTGTGGCATCAAGTTAACTGTAAACGTTCAAAAAGTTAATCAGTCATAGTCRTGCATCTTATGTTTGCTGTGTGGAAGTTTAATTCAAACTGACGAGTAGTTTATGACATATTTTTGCCAACAAATAAACACGATTGACTCTAACGGTTGTAGCTATTTCAAATGTTTGCCCAATTTCTGTAAAAATGACTAACAGCATTTTAATGTGTTCAGTAAGTTTAATTAGTTGTTGCAGACATTTTTAAAATCTGACAYGTTAAAAGGGGATTATTTTCTGAGAGTGCCATCACGCCCAGTCGGTCATGAGATATTTTGCTAACAGACACATGCACACACAGACAAAACACACACGATTTCCTGCCTCGCATGTCTGTGAGCAATGATAAGCATATTTGAAAGTTGAATACAGAGGAGAATGGACATAAAGGCAAAGGGGAGAGAGAGAGAGAGAAAAAAAATATTCCTCAGACGGTGATCTCTCAGATGACTGAAGATAAAGGAGGTGACTGAGCTAATTGTGAACTGTCAGAATCCATATCTCTAATGACTGTCAAATGAGCAAATTTCATATGTATTCTCTCCACCCACCCAACTCCTCCCCACGGGGTAAACGTGGGGGGAGATAGGAATAAATACCAGGAGACACTAATGTGATGAGAATGATGCCTGGTCTCTTCCGCTGATTAAAAATGCAATAACACTAATAGAAACACACTCTTACACACACACACACACACACACACACACACACACACACACACACACACACACNGGAAATTGACTGGGTGTGTCCTTATTTTCTACCTCCAATTTGAGTGATTCCATACTTTTTTTCCCTGTGCTTGGTCAATAAAAGTAACATTCACTGACTTCCACAATGCTTTCTCTTCATTTCTTGAGTGTTCCTGAAAGCCAACAAGTTGCACTTTGGAATGACCTTATTATTGTATCATGTTTTTGATCTGAGTTTGTTTTACACAGTGAAATGTCTGAATGAGTGCTCATCCAAGACTTTTTGCCAGGGATTGTGTATTTGATTGCAGTATGTCACAGTGGTTTTAAAATCAGTGTTGTCATTGAGTGCTTCCCAATATGGGCATGCATACGGTGTCTCATTTAAATACTACTGTGAGTATAATTAAATTTGCTTCCACCAATATCTGATAGCATCAGCTTTGACACACATTATTAAAGGTCATGGAAATGAGCAGTATGTTATGCATGCTGATTTTCAAAAATAAATAAATAAAATCCAAAAAAAAAGAAAGCAGAAGAAATGCAATCACAGAGCATGATTAATACGTTTTTCCTCCTTTCTAAAATGTAGTTGTAGGCGCTCTGCCTGCACCAGTGATGCTACTCTCTCTCTCTCTCTCTCACACACACACACACACACACACACACACACACACACACACACACACACACCCACACACACCTGCTTGCTCTGTGCATCTTACGCAGCGTAAGGTGTCGCTCTGTGGAGCAACAGATAACAAATGGAACCCAGTGGACCCAGACTAATATATTTACTCAGAAGAAGACGCACTTTGAAACGCTTCCGGCATCACTCTTTAAAAAATACTAAAACAAACAGCACATCAGCTGTAGTCCCTCATAATTTACTCCTGAGCTTTTTTTTTCCCCACATGATGATTGTTGACTCTGAGGAAGTGTGGATGTTCTGATTCGGGTCTAACCAGTGGCTGTCTTMCTGTACCTACAATTAGAAAATGTCAGTATTTGATGGGAACTTCACTGTAGGTGTTTCTGAGAGGAACCGAAAAAACAATAAATAAATACATAAAAAACTGCAGGGGAAGGGTCACAGTGAGCTTTTGAGTACAAGATACAGCAAAGAGGGGAATGAGTAGACTGAAGAGTGTCTTTATTCACCCTGTGTTATGTCAGGCTTCACGTGGTCACTGACGGGAAGCAGATAAGGTTTCACTCCGGCTGCAGTCGGATAATTGGACATTTATGGAGAGATAGGAGAGCCCAAGGCCCAGGAGCCATGAAACAGAGCTAATCTAGACTCAGCATCAGTAAATTGTCTGTGAAAGAGCGCATCAGGAGCCCTGACAAGATAAAGAAGGCTTTCCTCAAAGGCGGAGCTGGACCGAAGTGACACAAAAAACTCAAGACAAGGAAGATGAAGAAGAAGAAAAAAATGCCCAAGTCTTTTGGTGTTGGTGACTTTTACACATGAGACGCACACTGAGGTGCACATTTTCTCAGAGCGGCCGTGTCACCTTGTCATCCAAATTGGGTCATGTAATTCTTCTGACAGCGAGGACAGTTTTGACAACTGTGTGACTCAGAAGCTCTTAGGAGACAGAACTTTTGGCAAGCCTGCTTACATTTTTAAAGAGTCGAGAGAGAGAAAAAAAAAACATATCGTTCAGAATCAAATAAAGCAACTTACGTAAACTGTAGCTAAAGCGTAAACAGGGTGATTGTCAGCCATTATAGGCAGAAACTTCAGCTCTCAGGACGCGGTTTGTCTTGCACTCAGTCGTCTGTGATTAGTTTCCTTCCTTTGATGTATTTTCCATTTGATTCTCACAGGAAGCTGCTGCCTTCGGAGCAGGTGCACACTGAGCAGGTGGGCCATTACGTAGGAGCCTTGAGAGACTGGAGTCTATGCTTCGTACTATTTTAGGGGGACGGAAACCAGTCCTGGATACACCAGCCTTTTCAAATATCCTTTCGAGGACCTGACTTGCTTTTTTTTAATACCAAGGTGCAAAGATCTTTTGCTTGAGCAGTTTAGCCTTTATCTATTTTTTTTTTTTTGCTGAGCTGCAAATCTAAACTCTGTTCAGCCCCCACTGATTACAAGCACACATATTCTGACACAGGCAATTAATTTGCCTGGGGAGAGGCTAGTCTTAATTGGGTATAAGTGGGATTTTTCTTGGCTGTGTGCAACAAAAGAAAAAAAACTACATTAAAAAAATGACAGACTGCGCGCATGAAAAGTGAAGACCATCTGGTCCCACGGGAGCTGAGAGAGATGCCAAACAAATGAAAAGAGAAACAAAAAAAAAAAAACCTGAGTGATGGAGAATATCATTCCTCTCCCTCCTCCTCGATTATTTTTTTGACACACACACACATACACATATATAAAGTAGTCATCGCTCAGTCATGTATCACTTGCCCAGCCTGGAGGGTGATGCTCACTCACTGGAGGAACTGAATTCTCTCATGCGTGGCCTATTCATATTTTTATATAATGATCAATATTGAAAATAGCAAAGTGATGCTTGTAGGCAGGAGGGGTGTGTGTGTGCGCGCGCGCGTGTGTGTGTGTGTGTGTGTGTTTGGGGCGGAGGGAGAATAAAGAGAGTTTAGTGCGCAATGGCTTGGTCATGAGCATTACAAATTGACCTGACATGTTGGATCCCTCTTGGAGGTGATTGGTGGTGAAACTTGGAAGGAGCAACTGTGAGAAACAGAACCAAGCAGATGACATGGAATGAGCAGAGGGGGAGGATTCAGCTGGTGAATGTCCTGTCCTCTCGCCAGGCTCCATCGCYGCTTAGCGAGCTCACTAATACGCTCGGCGAAGGGTTGAGATGGTTAGCCATCAGCTTTTAGACGCCCATTAATTGTACTTCGAATGAGCAAGATCACCGGCTACGACAAAAAACAGACAAAGTCACCAAAACCACTCCGATGTGTTGCTCAGTTTCATTGTATAAACAATAACAAACGCTTTTTTTATTATTATTATTACATGTTCATAAATTGACAGACATCACAACATACTTGCATGACTGCTGATGTGAATGTTCCCCCTTCATCAGGTCAAACAGACCCGGTACAAAACTATAGAAAACAAACATGCTTCCAGAAACACTTTAAAGCCATATTCCATATTTTAACAGAGTTCACACCTGCTGAAGGAAAACAAACTGCAGAAGGATGCAGAAGCTCATCGTCAAGTTTCTGAATTTATTTCTCATTTTTATTTTTTTTCTCTTCTTTTATTTTCTTCTTTTTTTGTCAAGTTTACATCAAATAGAACAGACATACATTGGCACATGCAAAGTGAACACTTTGTGGTGCTTTTCGTTACCATCCAAATCCAAACAGAACAAAGACTGGATATCTATTTTGTGTTCTCAAAACATGAAAATACTCTCAAATATTTACAAAATATATATATGTATATATACTCACAATGCCCATCACTCCAACATAAAAAAACAAAGAAAAAAAATAGGGTTGAATTTGTTTCAAAGAAAAAAGTTATAAGTGGCAGAGCTCGCTGTTCAAGGTCATTTAAACCAACTCTGACAGAAAAGAGGCACAGAAAATAAAAATAAAAAAACATCACTGAAACAATACAAAAAAAAGTAAAATCAGGTAATGGACACCTCAAGAGAATATGGCTTTAATGACATTTCAAAAAGAAAATATCTTGAAGCAAATCCGCTGTCGGGTTTTTTTTTTTTTGTGTGTTTCTCCCCGTCATTGGTGACCCCCCTCAGCAGGTGAGTTCATCTCTGTCAGAGACGGTGAAATGGGCGGGGCACAAACACAAGTTTACAACYTGCAGTTTGGTTCTGAGGGTCGACCCAGTCCTCACACACAGGCTCAGAACTCCTCTGTAGTGTCTGTTGGGACTCATGCATCAGGTCTCGATGAGGGTTGGATGCAATCCACAGTCCTGGAGTGCATAGGTACTGCAGGTGGTGCTGGGATGCCTGCGCTCTCTTTGTTTTTCTTCCCTCTGATCTCGCAGCTTCCCTTTGCTTTTTCCAATCACAACTAAAGAACAAAAAAACATTTGTTTCCAAGAACATCAGATCCTGAGGTTGTTGTAACTCACATATGTTTTCTTGGTTGCTTGACCTGTGAGACAAAAAAAAACAAAACAAAACAAAAAAAAAGTTAGACGTGCTTTAATCTCTGCCCAAGCAAAGTACGAGAAGAAAAGAAAGCCTCCTGCAGAGGTAAACAGACATCATCCACTTTTGCAAAAATAAAAAAAGAAGTCTTTCTGCTGTGCTGTGAATTTTTATCACCAGCTGTGTGCAATCACAAGCAATATTTTCCCAGACTCGTGTATCAATTTCAACTCGCGTGGCCTCCGCGTAAAGCCTCCCTTTCTATTTTCAGACATTAACTAGTGATAAAAAAAAACAAAAAAATCACAAACACCACAAAAGTGGGCACCAAACAAATGCTAGGGCATGCAATGTGATCCCAGTCTAGATTACCATGGAAACACATCAGAATGTGGCCGAGTGCCTGGTTGGCGTTTGTTTGTGTGTCCTGCTGCAAAAGCTTTCATTATGAGAACCAATTTAAGTCTCCAAACCTTCTGAGTGAAGGCAGATTAGCTTCTGTTTTTTATGTAAACCCTGGTCATTCTTGCTTGATGCGACTTTGTGAAAGGATTGTTTTGTGGGAAAGGTTAATTTTGGAGTTAATGTTTGAACCAGGCTGATGTGTGAGACTGAACCGAAAGGCAGAGAAAACATGAACGCAGTCAGCACCGACAGGTGTGTGTGTGTGTGTGTGTGTGTGTGTGTGTGTGTGTGTGTGTG